TTAAAAATAGCAAAAAAGACTAGCTAGATGCTAAAAGTAGCAAAACAAAAGCTAAAAATTTAAAATAGCAATATGCTAGCTAAAAGCTAAAAGTAGTTGAATGATAGCTAAAAGCTAACCTAACTCGAGACAAAAACAGAGCCAGTGTGCTGAAGCAGTTTTCAAAAACAATTTTTATGAAGGAATTAAAGAGATTGTTATGTATTTCTATAGGAAAAATATTGCAAATAAAGATTAATGTTTTGAAAAATAAAGAAGTTACATAAACTAAAAGGTATAACGCCCATCTCCTTAATAAGCTGATCATTTTGATAATCGAATAGCTGAAGTAGCACAACCCATGAAGATGTAGATGAATTGTTAAAAACAATAAAAAAACAATGATTAGTTGTCATTAAAACAAAATAAAAGGTTTCAGCTTGCCTTAAAGCGGCGCGCCAGGAACTTGTTCTTCATCTCTAAGTAGTTGCCCTTGTGTATCTCAGTTTTGAAGGGCTCATTCAGAATAGCGTAACGCGGGTCATTCTGAATGTCTTGCCAGCGAGCATAGCCATGTCTGATATGGAGTCCTGGTCAAAGAAAACAAACGGGAGCGCAGGAGCTCACGAAACTCATCAAATAAAACCGAGGTGTGCGTTTGTGCACAGCCTGGCTGTGAATCTCTCATCGCATTTTGTAAATCTCAGCCTTTTTTCCGCTGCAGCTCTTTCCTGCCGTCAGTAATTACATTACTTTGCAGAGATGTTGAGCTTTTGGCTCTGACACGGGAAAGGATACGTTACGATGCCAGCCAGCAGCCAGTAGTCATGGCGACGATGCCAGATGTCGTGTATTTTTCCAGAAGACCGCGCCGCTCGCTCCTCTGTTTGCCAGAGGGTGTGCAACTCTGACAGCATGACAGTAAAAGCAGACAATTTTCAGAAAATAAATAAATAAACAACAACAAAAAGTTAGGATTTTACCATCATTTAGAGAGTCTGAAAAGCATCTTAAGTCAAACATGATTAATTACAATACTTTCTTTTCATTATATCACTGGAAATAAATTAACATAAGACCTTAAAGGTAAAGAATACTAAAGAATAGAAAGTTTATATATACAAAGAAATATAAACATTACTTTTGCTTCTAATTAGCCAACTTAAACATGTGTATGCCACAGCAAATTTTAAACCTTTTATTCTACAATTGTGTGGTAGTAGCTGAGAGTCACACACAGCACATGCCCTGAGCTCCAACAGATCAAAGATCTCACAATAAATATTGCGATATTAAGAAATATTAAGAGAACTACTGAGATCCTGCATATTGTCATTTATAAAATTTGACTAACACAAATACAACTTTCTCTCCTCTCATAAGATGATTTGAGTTTTTTAGTTTAATTCTCCATTATTCATTATTTCATTATTATTGTTCCTTATTGTTATATTAATATAATTTAATATGCATTCCTTGAATGAATGTGAGGCTTTTAAAATGCCATGCATTTCCTACAAACTCAACAAAGTGGAAGAAAACATTGTAATATTTAAGAGAATTGGCATAATACACATGATTATACCCATTTCATCACATAACAGCCTTTTTGTTTGTTTGTTTTACTTGGCAAAGCAAAAATGAAACAGGAAGTGACATCAAAAGGGAACCCTTTAAAAGGAAAACTCCTTGGTCTTTGTTTATTGAAGCAATATTATTTAAACTGACTCTTCTTCGTCTCCTTCTAATAGGGACTCGAAATAATCTAAAGAAACATCAGATTCTTTACTTTCTGTTGTTAGCCATTGTAGCAGCGGTGCTCTGTTTACATGCAGATGTTCCCTTTTGTCATCACTTCCTGTTAACCAACAGGAAGTGATGACAGAATTCAATTTGGCATGTATGCAAGTTTATTTGGTCATTAAGATGCATAAGTCTAAAGGTACTAGAGCAAATCAGTGTATAAATAATAATAATAATAGCAAAATAGCATTATTATTTTGCTGCTACAAAATAATAATAATCCTGCTAATCTGTTAATCCCGTTCATCTCAGCGGCGTGAATTTCTTTATGCCTTTAGCAATTAATGTTATCTTTCAAAAAAGGGATACATACTTGTGAAACAGGCACTTCAATTCACCACGTTTTCATAGGTTTTGTTATAAAACTTGATTTCTACAAGTTTTTTTCTTCCTGCTGATGTCCCATTGTAACATCATGTAAATGAGTGGCATTTTTCTTTTATTTAATAATATAATAAATTTCCATTAAAATTTTAATATGTCCTTTTTGTTTTCCTATAATAACGATAACTGTATCCTGCTGACAAACACATCACACTGGTTTGCTCTAGTACCTTTGCATCTTAATGTCAAAATAAACTCATATCCGTGTTTCCCGTACCATTATACAAGGAGAGCGGTCAACAGAACTGAACCCACCACCCCTGTCGATAACTGCCGGTACGATACAGACGCATTAGCTAAAAATCTACAGAGTTAACACTCAACTTCCCTCACGCTGAACTGTTTCCTTCACCCCCTCAGCTCCGATCTTCTGCCCCATTAGTCGCACGCGTCCGCCAACTGTTAATAACTATATAAGCAGTCAAAGCTTAATTGAAAATGTTGGGTCGGGTTCGGACCTGTAATTACCGTTGATTTGTCGGGTCGGGTTCGGAAATGATGGCTACAGGCTGGGGCCAGGTCGGATTGGATTTTTGGGGCCCGAATGCAACTTTAAATATTGGTATCGGCGATAGCCAAAATTTCCACATCAGTCGGGCTCTAATCCTAACATGGCCTTAAACGCACCTGCTACAGATCAATGATTTGTTTTAAATTTGAATATAAATCTGAATTACTGCATCTCGTTCCATTGTGCGTTTATGCAAATGCAAGGAGAAACGTCTAAAAGAGTCTGAACTCTCATCCGTTCTTATTTTTTTCCAAGCCAAAACAAGATGTTTTCTCACCAGTAAAACCTCCATCAGCAATATTAAACATAAACTTGGCTTTGAATCCATTTTTCTCCTCTTTTCTGCTCTCATCCAGCTCATCCAAAGAGTCTTTGTCTCCATTCAGTCGACCCTCTAATGCAGCTTCGCTCTTCACGTCATCTGCAGCCGTCACACAAAAGACAGGACGTTTTCTTAAAAGGCGGCCATGTAATGTGGCCACAAATAGATAAGTTGTTTCCTTAAAGAGCACAGCTTTTATTTATTTATTTTTGCCTTTTTGTACTCGTTCCATTTGAGAATTCACATCAGACGCCGTGTACCTGGCTTATTTTCTTTGTCTTCGTTTTTTTCTCGAGGAGAGCCAACGTCTCCTTTCTCAGAGGACTTCTCAGCTTCTTTGCAGGGGTCCGCTGAGGAGGAGAAGAGAAACAAAAGATTAAACATACAAAACACAGCTTTGCAGATGAATAGATGTTGGGCGCCTGGATCGTGCAGCCACTCACTCTTCGGTGAAGTATGACTGGATGGCAGCTCTGTCGGCTTGAAAGCGGACTCTTTTGAGTGAGCGCACGGCTCGGCCTTTGCGGTGGGGGATTTGCTTCTGTTCCTCTCATCTTCTGTTTTCTCCTCTGAGCTGGCCTTGCTCTCCTCACTGTCAGCAGCTTTCTCAGGTGCAGAGGCTGGCTCTGCACTGGAAGCCTGCTGGGTGGGGAAATAGAAGGGGCGCCGTGAGAAGTTGGCTGAGGGCAGAGGCCCAACTTAAGAAGTGTCTGAAACTGAAACAACAAGCACCTCCTGAGGTGGATGAAATGAGTTGTTTTATCACAGGATGGCTTGTGAGGAGAAGGACAAGACTATAAAGATGAAGGAAAGAAAAGTGATAGGTAGGAGGAGGTCAAATCAATGACTCACTTCCTGCTCTGATGATTTTTTTCTGTCTTGTTCTGTGGTCTCCTTGTCCTCAGCGTTACCCACCAAAGACTCCGTCCCTACTGCCGCAAAACAACAGCTTAGCACTTTGTTTCTTGATTATTTTTTTTAAATTCTGTGCATTAACCACGCATTCAAAGATATAATAAATATCCGCGCTCCGACCTGGTGGGATGGGGGTGCTGGGCTGCGTGGCCACAGGGCTGGCTGGCACAGGGGTGTTGGAATCAGAAGACACACTTTCAGTGAGTTTCTTCAGCTCCATCCCAATAGGAATCAGATCTGGAGAGCTCAGCTTCCCGTTTACATGTTCAAACTCCTGCACCTGCAGCAAAAGAGACGCATTTAACCAGGGGTGTCAAACCCACTTACAAAACGGGGCCAAAATTAAAACCTTTTTCAAACTAAGGACCGGTTTCAGAATCTAAATCTAAATCTAAAACTCGACATCTTTTCTCGGTTGCAGGTTCCTCCGCAAGAGTTTGATTGGTCTCATTTTGTTGCACTTTTGACATCATAATCAAAGATTACTGAAAAAAAATTAAAGTGATAAAAGTATTTTACATTTAAAATAACATATTGGGGACCAGATAAGATTCCAACGAAGGCCATATTTGGCCCCCGGGCCTTGAGTTTGACATATGCATTTAACTCATAGGCATTGCAACCATTATAAGTGAAGGGGACGTGTGTCCCTCCCCCACACACACATTAAAAAAACATTTAATTTGGACCCCCCACACACTTTTACTATAAATAAAACATTAGTTCAATCGACGCAGTTTCTCTTACTTTGTGAACGAATCCATTCCACTTGATTAATAGGAGAATACTCAAACCACTAAAAAATCCACTCCAGGTTTTCCTGGTTACCTCCTCCAGCCTGCAGTGTTTCTGGTCTGTGTCTCCTGCCTCGGCAGAAAATGCGCACAGGTGGAGGAGGTGGAGGTACCTCTGTGTTGATCGCTCGCCAGTTTAGCGAGCCCGGGGAGGGTTGTTCATAAACATATATACACGGTTAGGAGGATGTTTGAGAGAAATGGAGCGCTACGTCTGTAGCATCTTAGCTTAGCGGTAACTGTGACGCTGCAAGACGCCGCAGGTGTAAGAGACGCTGTGTGTTCAGGTGCATTAAAGTTGAAATATCTTTAAAACCTCGCACCTTATTGTCCTCAAGCTTTGTGAGAAACATCCTTTAGATGAGTAGTGTTGAACACAAGTAAAAAAAGTCCAGTGGTGATGTTTTTTTTATTTCTCTATAAACACAAATAGTGCAGATCTGAAGTGTATTAAAGTTAAAATGTCTTTAAAACAGCTGAATTTGCACAAACTTGGTGAGAAACATGCTTTAAGTGGAATTAAAGTAAGGAAATCTAGATGAAATGTTGCTTTTTGTGTAAACTAGTGTACAATGTTTTGCACACGTGTGCACACACACACTAGTGTCCCCCCCCCAACATTACAGATGCCTCTGATGCCCATGATGTAACTGTATTAATGGAAAGCCAACAGTTCCGAGTGGCGGCTCACTTTCTTCAATCTAAACAGATTGGAAGGAACTAGACTGCACACTACATCAGTCAAACTGAGTCACTAGTTTATTTTGCCTGTAGAAAAAAGGCACAGACTTGTCTTAGATTCAAACTTGACTGGCAAGCATTTCATGTTGATGCTATTTTAATATTCATAGCTTTTTTTTTTTTTATAAAGATTTTCCTTATCCTATCCTGGTGAGCTCACCAGCCAAGGAACAAATTTTACTAAACATCAAATGTGCTGACCTACTTTTTTCTAATCGCTCTGTGTTTATTCTCCGGTTGAAAAAGCCGTACCTTTTTCCTGACAAGCGACATGACGCCGATCCTGGTGAGAACGTGCTGACGAGACAGGCCCTCGCGGGGGACTCCATCAGCAAAGGTCTCTGCTCCGTCGGCGCCTGGCTCACATAAATGTCTCATAAATAGAGACACATAAGCCCTAGTAAACAGAGACACTTTGCAGTAAACTTAAGAGAAAGAAGAAGGTGACATGCAATGACACCATATTTTCTACCAGTTTGCGACTAGGGAGATAATCCGGTACGTACAGTAGTAACACAAGCGAAGCACTTTCAATAACAAGAGCAGGGCAGCACAATTCAATAATGTCCTTAGAATTAAAAATGGCCCTCGTATAACTGTTCGTTGTAAATGTTGTAAGGCAGCAGTGATTGTTCTGTTTGGATATGTGATAATAAAAGGTATATGCAAGCTAATGAATTTGAGATGGAAGGCCTTGCATTCCTTGAAGGAATGCATGTCGCCCTTTAGATCAGTGGTTCCCAACCCTGGTCCTTGCGGAACACCATCCTGCATGGTTTCGTTGCTTCTCTGCGCCAACACCTGATTTGAAAGAACGGGTGATTAACAGGCTTCTGCAGATCTTGAGAAAGTAATTAAATCATTGAATCATGTGTGTTGGAGCAGAGAAACAACATACATGCAGGATGGTGTTCCTCAGGGACAATGGTTGGGAACCACTGCTTTAGACTAAGAGATGCAGCACACGCTACAAGCAAGAAACTTTATCCCTCCTATGTCTACAAGAAAAGAATGACATTATTTTTCTTGCAGCCCTGGGTTTGAATTTCTTGTTCTCGACACATTTTTTTGTTGTTCTGTGATTGGAGGTGGGAGTAGTTCGTATGGAAAAGCAGAAATGTGGACGTTCCAACTATGAGGACTCCCCAGGAGTTTGTCACTTGTCTTTCTGGCGAAGGATGAAATGTTCTGGCCAGAACAAGCTTTGTTCTTGTTCTTACCACCACAAGCTTGGAATCATCTTATGTTGAAAAATGACTTTTTAAAAAAAGGTTCTGTGTGACCTCATGCAAAATGGCAAGATGTCACACTCGGAGTATGTGTTGTGAATGACTTTCAGCTACTACCGCATTGATTGATATCTCAGTATTTGTACATTTTACTGAGTTTTTGACATTTTTGTGTTGATTAGTTGTGGAAGCCATCTCAAATTGCATTTACTGTAATTTCCGGACTATTGAGCGCACCTGAATATAAGCCGCACCCACTAAATGAAAAAAATTAATACATTTTGTACATATATAGGTCACCCTCGTCTATAAGCTGCAGGTGCCCATGTTGTAACATAAGATATTTACACTGTAAGATTTTTTAAACGTTTAATTAAATACGTAGGCTACCGGTAACATACACAAATACATATAGTAAATGCTTTTTCTGAACAGTGCCTGTAACACGGCTGGTTAACAAATACACAAATGAATAAATACAGTAGCCTACCAGGAAAAGTCGCTGATTGCTATGTTTATTAAAAAAAAAATCTAAAATCTCCACTCTTGTTATTGGTGGCGATTGTTTTGACGTTCAGTCGGCTCTGCACGGTGGAAACCCCTCGGCCGTCTGCTCTTTGTGTGTTCGCCCAGTCTTCAAGAACATTTTCTAATTTGAGCCATCTGCCTTTTTTTTTTTTTTTTTTTACCTCTGAAAGCTTCTGTCATCTTTTTGCATTGATTCAGTTCTTCATGCTGCCGTCTCCCACGTCTCACCATTTATTTATTGATGCCAAGTAGAGCTGTCATTTCTAACCCGAACCCGGCCCCGCCCGACCCGAATTCGGACCGGCCCGAGCCATAATAAAGTGCTTAATGTGCGGGCTGGGTCGGTGTCGGGCTTTTGATTGCGTCAGCGGACACGTGCAACTGACGATCAAATTATATGGCAACGTGGCTTGCCATACAATCACCATCATCAAGGCCGGTCAGCACGCTGCCGTTTCACCGCGCGCTGACCGACCTTGAAAGAGGTAAAAAGTTCAGTTAAGCTTCAGATGAACTACTGCCAGCGATCCATCAACCCAAACAGGTGAGATCACAAAATATCCAGAAACAGCTCAGATCTTCTGGCCCCTTTTACTCAGCCGCGCGTGTTTATTTCGGGTTTTTTTCAGGTTCAGACCTGTAATTACTGTTAATTCATTGGGTCGGGTGGGGTTTGGAAATTATGGCTACGGACTAGGCCCGGGTCGGGTCAGATGTTTTGGGCCTGAATGCAACTCTAATGCCAAGCTTACGTGCAGCAGCTTCATTCCTTCTTCGACAGCCAGATCGATGGCCTTTAACTTGAAAGCTGCATCATACGCATTTCTTCGTGTGTTTTCCATGATGAGGGTGTGTGCATGAAGCACAGAATGACTGATCTGAAGAATTTAGTGTGAGCGCAGCATAAAGCTCGTTAGACCGTCAAAAATAAATCAATCCATAAATTAGCCGCAGCATTGTATATGCTGCGAGGTTCAACGCTAGTGAAAAACGTAGCGGCTTATAGTCCGGAAATTACGGTGCTTGAAACATTAAATAGTTTCATATATACTGATAATTTTCTAATTGTTTTATTGTAACGTGTCCAGAGATTCATGAGATGTCGACTCCAAATATTTTTGGCAAAGTTCTTGCTCAGTCTGTTAGCTCTCAGAGTGTGTTGGACATCAGTCAGATCAGAACAGTTTTAGGGCATCACCTGAACTCCCGCTCACTTTTCCCTCTGAGGTCCCGAACCAGCCAGTGCGAGTTGAAGGCGTCTTGAGGAGGCATGCCCCAGCGCATGATGGCGTTAAGGAAGGCCTTCCTCTGACGGGTGTTGAACCCCAGGACCTTATGACAATGAGGAGAAAACTGTGTAAAAAGGTTTGAAATGGATGATGCAGTACAAACAACAACAAAAAGTCTAACAATGAGCTGCAGACTGAGCTGCCTGAGGAAAAGCTGGGCCCATGGAAGCTTGAGACGTGACTGGTCTATGCTAGGCTGGTCGTCTGTGTGAGTGGATTTGGCAAGGATAGAATATACAAGTATGAGTAAATCTGCTGCTAAACACAAAAGAAGTAACAAGTTAGACAACGGTCAAGGATAAATTTGGGGGAATCAAGCAGGAAGGTGGGGCGCCATGAAAACAGAGCTCAGCATTAAACACTCGCAGCTTTAGTGAAATGTTTTCTACATTGGTAAATTATCTTAAACTATCCTTTTGTCTGCATCCTTTACGCAACCAATCTGAGTATAAATATGTACCGATCCTTAAAATATCCAGGCTTCTCAGTCATAACCCTTCCATGGATGTCACCATAGTTCACCTATTTTTGGGTCACTTTGGATTTTTCCATAAGTAAACAAACACGTAGTAGTTGGCTGCCGTTCACAAAGTTTTGCTTTCAAATTTTCAATTCAATACATAAAATCTATCCATATGAGAAAAATAATGTGCAAATTTTCCTGATGAATGCTCAATAATCCAGGTAGAAAAATCTAACAAAGTTAAGTCTGGTCCTCTGGACTCAGACTGAAGAAGTCTTTCGGATGAAAGCCAAAAAGTTTCTACTTTTTTTTTTTTGCTTTGTTTTGTTTTTTTGTATGTCCAGAGGACCAGACTTAACTTTTTTAGATTGTTCAAATTTTGTTTCAACATTTTTTGACCAGTCCTCGTGATTTTCAATATCTTTAAATCGTGTCTTTTCAATATCTGTGAAACTATCTATATAGTCTCTATTGTTCTTGCGCTGCCATGATTAGTGCCTCACTGGTCCTTTCTCTTCGTGTACAGTCTCAGGACGCTGGACTTGGGGTGAAACTGTCCATGCAGTATGAGGAGCTTTTGATATCAGTGTCTTCTATCTCCTCTTTTAGTCAGGCTATTATACCAGCTGGGTATCTGATGACTGATGGTGCACACGTGTTGATGGATAGGACTTTGTTCTTGCCGTTCAGCTGGCTCTTCAGGACCTGCCTTATTCTCTGTATGTATTTGGTTGTGGCTGACTTTCTTGCAGCCTCATCATTCCATTTGTCTGTGGGATTCCAAAGTATTTGTAGCGGTCCTGGACAGCTGCAATGTTGCCTTCAGGTAGTTCAACCCCTTTGGTTGTGATCATCCTGCCTCTCTTGCTACCATTCGACTGCACTGATCCAGTCCGAATGACATTCAAATGTCCTTGCCGTATATCCTGATGAGCTGAATCAGTGAGTCTGTGTCTCGCTCATTTTTGGCATACAGCACCCATGTAGAGGAGGTGATTGATGACTGTTGCACTTCTGAATCAGTATCCAGGAGATATAAATACATACATACATATACGTATATGAAACTAAACTGAATTCATACCTCGATGCTCCCTCCGACTCGTGCCAGTAAGGGTGGAAGAGGTTTGTCTTTCTCATTCTTGAGCTGCCGACGGGACTGTCTGCGTCCACCTGGGGGAGAAACCAGTTTGAAGTTAAAAAAATAAGGCATTAACTTGCAAGTTTGTGCAACACCTTGAATAATGCAGTCTTATAGGGTGGGTACGCAGAACTATTAAGTAAGGGTAATCGTGCTGCCTACCTTCAGGCCTCTCTTCAAAGTCTTCGTCCTCGTCCTCGGACCCCACGGAGTACTCCGACTGATTGTCTGAAAGATCATCCTGCCACTCTGAGCAACACATCAAAGAGAAACAGTACATTGCGTTCGCTTCTGTTGGTGGCCACCCGAGGGCGCCATGGCACTGCAGATTACTACAGACCACTACAGCCGAGCTGGGCCTGCAGGAGCGCCACTCCTCAGTCCTCTGGAACTGAGAGGAGTGCTGATAACTACAGCTCTCACATTAATTTAGAGTGTACTCTCAGCTGCTCTACACACTCCTAAAACATCAACTGCAAGTGACTGAGAAACCGTTGACCTGTTGAAACGAAGGGATTTAAATCCAGTGTGGGAGACTGGAGGTGCAAGAGCTTCACAAACACTTTAAAGGTGTCTTCAGGAACACAGCAAAGCCTCTCCAGATGTGGACTGTGTACACTAATTTAATAATCTTAGCAGATTTAATTAAAGGCAACTTAACTTCTTATTTTGATTCTTGAAAATGTTTTTCTTCTCATCCGAGGAGTTTGATCTTTATTTTTATTATTGCACATCACTGCAGAGGAAGCAATCATAATGGTTTTATCTCTCTCTCTCTATCTCTCACTTTTGCTTTCTCTATCTCTCTCGCTCACTATATCAACGTATCTCTTTCGCTATCTCTCTCTCTCTCTCTCTCTCTCTCTCTCTCTCTCTCTCACTATCTCTCTATCGCTCTCTCTCTCGCTCTTGCTATCTCTCTCTCTCGCTCTCTCTATCTCTCGCTCTCTCTCTCTCTATCTCTCTCTCGCTCTCTCTATCTCTCGCTCTCTCTATCTCTCGCACTCTCTATCTCTCGCACTCTATCACTCGCTCTATATTTCTATCTCTCTATATCTCTATCTCTCTCTCTCTCTCACTATCTCTATCTATCTATCTATCTATCTATCTATCTATCTATCTATCTATCTCTCTCTCTATCTCTCTCTCTCTCTATCTATCTATCTATATATATATATATATATATATATATACACATACATATATAATTATATATATATATACACATGTATATATACATGATGTATATATGATGTTTCCTTCCTCGAGGATGCTTGTGTTTATAATAGTGGTGGTAATGACTGAAAATGGCTCTTATTTTATATAATACTGACAAAACCTATTTATTGTTAAAGACAGCATATAAAACCCAGCGTGTGTAAACTAGCTGTGTGCCAGCAGGACCTACCTTGGTCCTCCTGGGTCGTATCGTTGTAGTTGACCTGCTTCCGAACGCGTTTGCCTTTGCCCAGGTTTCGAGCCAGGTCCTCCTGCTGCTGCTCGTAGTGATGGCGGAGGAGTTTCTCCCAGTAGTCAGGGTCCACGTTCTCCTCCTGCTTGATGATCTCTCGCTCCACCTCCTCCTGGACATGGACATAAACAAACATCCACTCACAAATGAAGAATCAGAGTTTAAAATAGAAAAAAAAAACTGTTTGGCAGTTTTCCAAGATTCTCAGGTAAGTTTTGTCTTTCTGAGGGACGTGGTTGTGTTCTCACCTCTCCGTCTTCTTCTTTCACAACATACTGAGCCACCTTGAAGGAGCTCAGGTACTCGTTCATGTTCTGTATCTCTGTGTCCTCGGTCGCGTCCTGGCTCCGGTCCAGCAGCTTGGAAATGGCATCATCGTCATAGTGAATCACATTTCCCTCCTCGCCATCTTTGTTGTCACCTGGTGATGAGACGCTCTTAATCAATTACACAAACAGACTTTAAATAGTTAACTAAATGTAAATTATTGCTAAATGAAACCAAGAAGAAAACTGTTAATGAACGTTTCATGATTACTGTGTGAATGCTGAGTCAGCATTTTGTTTTTCTATTTATATTTCATTTTTAAGCGATCAAACTGCATACTTTGTGCTGTTTGAACCATTTGTATACCGAAATGTTTGGTTCAACTGGGAATAATGTGCTATGACTTTTAGTATTTGTAACTTAGACGTTTTGAATTATTCATATGTATTTATCAAATATTTTCCTATATAAATGCAGTAAGATCTCCTCAGCGCCTTCAAAAACATGTTTCTCTGAAACCTTCTCCTGCATGCTTGTCTCGTCTGGTGCTGAAGTTGTGTAACTGTAGCTGTGTTGAAAACAAACAGACCCATTGCTCGTGCCGCCTCCATTTCATCCTTGAAAAGCTCCTCGGTTCCAAACTTGAGGATGTCATCCAGCTCTTGTTTGGACATTGAGCCTGTTTTCGAGCCCAGGCCGGGCCGCACCACCAGGTGAGTCAGCATCATTTTTCTCTTTGCTACCTGAGTGATTCTCTCCTCCACCGAGCCCCGAGTCACAAAGCGGTAGATCATCACTTTCTTGTTCTGGCCGATGCGGTGGGCTCTGCTGAAAGCCTGAGGGAACCGAAAGATGCCATAAGAAGATCAGAGTGGTAAACTGCTAAATAAAATGTAAAAAATCCACCTCTTTTTAAGCTACTAAAGTTTAAAAAAATGAAGTAGATGGATGTAAGAGTGTCCATTCTACTAGGAATCATTACTTGGATGTCATTGTGGGGATTCCAGTCGGAGTCATAGATGATGACGGTGTCTGCACTGGCCAGGTTGATGCCAAGACCTCCGGCTCGTGTTGAAAGCAAGAAGCAGAACTGCTGCGCACCCGGGGCTGTGACATAAAACGAAAGGAGAGAATGGCTTTATGAGCCAGACTTGGATGGCAGAAGGTCATCCTAGCTGTGGAAAACGTGCGCTGACAGAAAAGCTCACCGTTGAATCGGTCAATGGCTTCCTGTCGCAGGCCTCCGGTAATCCCCCCATCAATCCGTTCATATTTATAGCCTTCAAACTCCAGAAAATCCTCTAGTAGATCCAGCATCTTTGTCATCTGTTAACAAAAAAATATATAAGCTTGGAATGGACTTTCTAGCTGTTCGATCTCAGCGAGGGAGATGACCTTTTGCACCGGTTCCCCTCAGAGCTGCGTTCTTTCACCCCTATTTTTCATTTTATAAACCATGCAAACCATTGTCACAGCCAGTTTCCATCACATTATAAAGTTTACTGATGGCTCTGTCATCTTGTCCCTTCTCAGCAGTGATGACCTAGACCGGGGTCGGGGACTTCACTGAATGGTCTGTCTTCCAATGTAAAGTTAAATGTTTCTAAGACAAAGAAGATGGTCTTTGATTTTAGAAAAGACTCTTCAGTTTCCATTCCTGTGGTCATTAACACTGAAGCAATATAAATATCTGGGAACTGTTCTTGATGACAAACTGACCTTTGACCCCCACGTGAACTCACTTTGTAAGAAGGCCCAGAGAATGTATTTTTATCAGAAGCTCAGTGGGTTTTATGTTGATTCTACTTTTACGATAATGTTTTATTCATTTTTTATTGAGTCTCTTAACTTTTACCTTCATCTGTTGGTTTGGACTTTGGACCTGCAAAAACAGGAGCAAACTCTCGGGGGAACTCAGCGATGTGTAGCAAAACTGCTGACATAGCCCTACAGAACCTCACTGACCTGCACAAGACAAGGTCAGTGAACAAGGCCAGGATGATTCTGGCAGATCCTGATAATAATAATAATAATAATAATGTCATCACAATATATCCTGATGCATGCTCAATAATCCAGGTAGAAAAATCCAAAAAAGTTCAGTCTGGTCCTCTGGGGTCATCACAATATGTTTCCATACAATGGCGAAATTAGTCTCTGCATTTAACCCATCCACCACCGGGTGGTGCAGTGGGCAGCTACTGAAAGCGCCTGGGGGGCATTTTGGGGATGAGGTGTGCTGCCCAGAGACACCACGTGGTATGCAGTGACCGGGGATCGAACCTGGGACTTTTGGGTCCCAAGCCGGCTGCCCTGCCTCTACACCATCTCGGCCCCATCCACTCCATGGTGATTTCAGGTTGCTTCCACCTGGACGCAGGTATCTGCTGCCCAGATGTTGGACGAACAGACTGAAAAACTCATTTATCCCTGCAGCGATCAGGCTTCTCAACGAACGATGATCTGTGTACTGTTAACTTTAATGTCTCAATGTCTTGTCTAGTATGGATGTTTTATGTGCCTACTGACTGTGAAACAGATTGCCCCTTGGGGATAATAAAGATTCTTGAACTTGATGGTCTGATGGTGACCAAACTATGAAAACTGTAGATTCCTGCCAACAAATAATATTCATTTGACTTTTACCTGAGAGAAAATAAGAACTCTGTGTCCTTCATCTTTGAGTTTTTTCAGCATTTTCTGAAGCAACGTTAGTTTTCCTGAGGACTTCACCAGTAGATTACCATCATAAGAACCATTGGGTAAAACAGGAGCCTCCTTCAATACAAAAAAACAATAAAAAAACAAGAAGCGACATTGACAAAGTAAAACTAGCACAAGGACAAGAATGTTGAAAATGAAGACTAAACACGTTTATAAACTCCGTATGGAAACAAATTAACCAGAGAAAGAGTACCACGGCAGCCACGGGGAACAGGTAGGGGTGGTTGCAGCACTTCTTCAGGTCCATCATGATGTTGAGCAGAGACACCTGGTTCCCTCCACCTTTGGAGTTCAGAGCCTCAAAGTTTCGCGTCAAGATAAACTTGTAATATTTCCTGCAGGGGGTCAGAGATCAAGCAGATTTAGGATAAAGCAGAATCAAACCCTGTTTTTTACTCCAGGTTGCTTATAACACACTGAATAGACGTGCGTTTGTAAATTCCTGCCTACAATCCATTTCTTCTTTAAAAAGCTTACTTTTGCATGGGACTGAGCTCCACTCTGACAATGAGCTCAGTCTTTGCAGGCATGTTCTTGAACACATCGGCTTTCAGCCTCCTGAGCATGTGAGGTCCGAGAAGATCATGGAGTTTCTTGATCTGGTCCTCTTTAGAGATGTCTGCAAACTCCTCCAGGAAGCCTTCCAAGTTGCTGCAAAAGATAACCGTGAGAATTCAACCATTTTAATGATGGTGCTTGTTCACACCCATAAAATTTCACCAGTAACTTTCACTTTCCCCATTGCCGTTTCTGTGCTATGATGAGCTCTAAACCCTGACTGAAAGTCTTCAAACAGATTATTTCTTTGTAGATGTTCACGCAACTGACCTGCTACTATTTTCTTGAACATTTTTTATATGAATGTTCGATTTTATATAGGTCTAAAATTGGCCAGAATTTCTGAATCAAAATTAAAGATTTTATTACAGCAACCTTAAAGTGCTGTGGTACATAACCATTCATTAAAGCCAAATTAAGCAGATCCAAAATGGACATCAATTAGGGGAAACACCTCTTTAAACAGTTTGGTTATGATGGGGTCTAGCAGACATGTGGATGGTTTGGATGAAGCTATTATTCTTGACAATTCAGAGAAAACAGTCCAAACATAAATCAGGTTCTAGTGACATTTTTAAAGTTGTCTCATCTGACAGGGAACCAGAGGCGATAGTAGGAAGGATGGTTTGAATTTTCTCTCTAATTGAAATCATTTAATTTATAAAGAATCTCATGAATTCTTCACTGCTTCTAGTTGTAGGGATACACTGGTAAACAGAGAATGGACTTTTGATTAGTCAAGCCATAGTACTCAACAGAAACCTGGGGTTATTTTTATTCTTATTTATTAAATATGAATAATATAAAGTTCTAGCTTTATGGAGAGCTTTCTTATACGTTAGCAGGCTATCTCTCCAAGTTAAATAAAATCATTCAACATTAGTGCAGCGCCACTTTTTTTTTTCCAGCTTTCTAGATGCCTGTTTTAAAGTACATAACTCAGAATTGAGTTCCTTCCTTAGATAGAGAACGTTTACTAATTGGCTTTTGAATGTATGTGAATGTTTTTTTTTTTTTTTAAATTTTTATTTATCAGGAGAATATATAATTGACATTACATACATTAAACAGAATTTACATGACTTCTCCAATTTTTTCTTTTTTTTTCCTTCCCCCTTTCCCCCCTCCCTCCCCTCTTCCCCTCCCTCCCCTTCCCCCCTTAACCAAAAACAAGACAAAATAAGGAAAGAAAAAAAAAAAAAAAAAAGAGAGAGGAAAAAAAAAAAAAAAAAAAAAAAAAAAGAGAGAGAGAGAGGGGGAGGAGGAACGAACAGGAGGGACCCAACAAACCAAAAGGAAAACAGTATTTCAGTCTTTCATTTATCCTCTAAAAACAAGTCACATGGTAATGTGATGAGTCAATCGTATCAGTCTATACGCTATGAAGGTAAAGATTTTACATATGACACAAAGGGTGTCCACTTGTGGGTAAATTTTTCTGAACTACCTTTCACTGTTAGTAAAATTTTTTCCATCTTCAAGTATAATCTTACAGTATTAAGCCATTGTGATGTAGATGGTGGTGTGGGAGATTTCCAGGCGAGCAAAATACAACGTCTGGCAAGGAGAGAGCAAAAGGCCAAGACCTCCCCCTGCTGGCGGGATAGATTAAGTGTGGTCCCAGGAACTCCAAAAATAGCAATAAGTGGATCACTTTGAAACTGAATCTTAAAAACTCCTGAGAGTATGGAGAAAAAATATTTCCAAAACCCTTGCAGTTTTGGGCAGAAAAAGAACATATGACTTAAGTTGCAAGGTGAAGTCTGACATCTATCACACTGGTCTGGTATTGAGGGGAACATTTTAGATAAACGTGTTTTTGAGAAGTGTACTCTATTTATTACTTTAAATTGTATTAACTGTAGTCTGGCACATGGTGTACTCTGACGTATGCTGAGAATAACTTTATCCCACCATGAATCTGATAGTTTAACACCCAGTTCACGTTCCCATGCAGTTCTAGTTTTACCCGATGAGTCGGCCTCTATTGCCATAAGTTTTCCATAAATAATTGAAAGAGGAGATTTCAAATTGGGGCTCAAAACTAAGAGTTCAACCCATGGTGGGTCAGTAGGCAAAGCTAGAAAATTTTGAAACTGCGATGAAACGCAATGCCTAATTTGGAAGTAAAGAAACAAATGTGAAGTGGGTAGATTAAATTTAGAAGACAATTCTGAAAAACTAAGAAATAAACCATCTTCGTACAGGTCTCTCATTGTTCTAATACCTTTCTCATACCAAATTCTATAGGCAGCATTATTAGATGCTGGAGAAAAAATGTGATTCTTTAGTAACGGCATTTTATTAGAGGGTGATACAAATTTAAAGTGGGACCTAAATTGTGACCAGATCCTGAGTGTTGAGAGCACTATAGGATTTGTAGTAACTGAGGATAATTTAATTGGTAATGATGAATAAATAATTGAAGCGGGCGAAAAAGATGCAGAAATCGACTGAATTTCAAGTTTACACCAAATCAGATCAGGTGAATTTAACCAATAAGTCAGTTTATGGATATGTGAGGACCAGTAATACATTGTGAAATTAGGTAGAGAAAGACCCCCGTTTGTGGTGAACTGTTGTAATAAAGAAAGTCTCATTCTGGGGGCCTTTCCGTTCCATAAAAAAGATGAGACCATCTGATCCAGGGACCTGAAGAACTGTTTGGGCAAGAACAGAGGGATATTTTGATATAAAAACAAAAGTCTCGGTAGCACATTCATTTTGATAATATTAATCCTACCAATCAATGAAAGAGGGAGAGAGTTCCATCTCTGTAAATCTGATGCAATTTGGGAAACTAGTGAGGCATAATTCTGAGAAAACATTGAGGGCAAAGTACGTGTAATATTAATTCCTAAATACCTAAATCCCGAGGGACTGAGCCTAAAAGGGATATCAGAAGGCTTAAGCTTTAAAGCTAATGAATTCACTGGATAGCATTCACTTTTAAGTGAGTTAATTTTATAGCCAGAATATGATCCAAATTTTTCTAGAATATTTAAAATTGGGGGAAGACTCCGTAAAGGGTCAGAGACATACAGGAGAAGGTCATCTGCATATAAGGACAATTTAAGCTCGACACCAGAGCGGACGATTCCATGAAAAGAAGAAAGGGATCTTAGAGCAACGGATAGGGGTTCAATGGCTAACGCAAACAAGAGGGGAGAAAGAGGACAACCCTGTCTAGTACCACGTCCCACCGTAAAATAATCAGATTGGACGGAATTACTGAGAATACATGCTTGAGGGGATGTATAAAGTAGCTTGATCCAAGACACAAACCTCTCTCCAAAACCAAACCCATTAAGAACAGCAAAGAGATATTCCCATTCCACTCGATCAAAAGCTTTCTCGGCATCAAGAGAAATTATCACTTCAGGAGATTTAGAGGAATGAGTTGAAAAAATTGTATTCAACAGTGTACGAGTATTAAAAAACAACTGGCGACCTTTAATGAATCCATTCTGTTCTTGTGAAATAATCCGAGGGAGAACTGTCTCAAGCCGAGTCGCGAGTACTTTAGACAAAATCTTAAAATCCACATTCAAAAGTGAAAGAGGTCTATAGGACTCGCAGGCATTAAGATCCTTATCCTTCTTTAACAGGAGAGAAATTGAGGCCTGAGTCAAGGTGGGAGGCAACAAGCCCTGCCCAAATGACTCATTATAAACCTCAAGAAGAAGAGGGGCTATTTTATCTTTAAATTTTTTGAAAAATTCGGCAGAGAAACCATCTGAGCCAGGTGTTTTACCACTTTGCATATCCTTAATTGACGCAAATATTTCTTCTAATTTAATGGGAGCTTCAAGTTGGTCAGAAAGCAATTTGTCTATCCTAGGTATGTCAATATCCTGAAGAAAGGCACATAGCTCATTTGAGTCTGCTTGTAGTTCAGACTTATACAAATTGCAGTAGAATTTTTTAAAAGTATCATTAATAGAGACAGGATCTGAAACAAGATTGCCCGACCGATCGTTGATTTGTGATATTATGTGAGAGCCGGCTTTTCGTTTCAATTGATGTGCCAGAAGTCTACTTGGTTTTTCCCCATGTTCATAATAAGTGGCTCGAGATCGTATCAAGAGTCGCTCCGCATCAGATGTAGTTAAAAGATCGAGTTCCATCTGAAGATCCTGTCGCTGTTTCAGCAAATCATGTGATGGATTAACGGCATTTTGCCTATCAATATTCTGAATTTTTGTTGATATTTCTGATATCTTAGTGCGTAGATTTTTATTAATATTAGCTGAAAAAGAGATAATCTGACCCCGAAGATAAGCTTTTAATGTTTCCCACAGTAGTGAGGGAGAAATTGTATCGCTCTTATTGAACCTTAGAAAATCATCAATTGATGATAAGATGAATTTATTAAATGGCTCATCTGATAGCAGGAGGGTATTAAATCTCCAACGAGGACTAGAATTGGGTTTGTTTATAAAATTTATATCAATGCTTAGAGGAGAATGGTCTGAAATAACAATCGGATAGTATTCAGAAGACGTGACTCTCTGCATTAAAGAGCTATCAACAAAAAAATAATCTATACGGGAATAGGATTGGTGTATTTGAGAGTAAAAAGAATAGGTCCTTGTTAGTGGATTCCGTGTCCTCCATGGATCTACATATCCATTTTGGGACACAAAATCCAAAATAGATTTAGACATATTAGACTGTGTATAGGACCGAGATGAGGAGCGATCTAATGATGGATTCATTACACAATTCAGGTCTCCAGCTAGAATTAACAAATGAGTATCAAGATATGGAAGTGTGCTAACTAGATTGTTTATAAAATCTGGTTTATCAAAGTTTGGTGCATAAATGTTTACTAATAAAACAGGAGTGTGGAACAAGGAGCCTGCAATTATAAGAAATCTGCCATTTATATCCTTCATTATTCTTGATGCTGTAAAATGAATATTCTTATTAAATATTATGGCAACTCCTCTAGCTTTTGAGTTGAAGCTCGAATGATAAATCTCCCCAATCCATGGATATTTGAGCCTGACTTGATTTGAATTTTGCAAATGTGTTTCCTGTAGGAATATTATGTCTGGGTTCAGGCGTTTCATATGAGAAAATATTTTAGA